TGGTTTTCCTTCCTATTATTCTTTCTGGCAAACAATTGCTGTGTTTTCTTATTTTGACCTTTGAAACAGTGTTATACTGCTGCAAGGCCTGTGATATTGGAACCTATAATGTTGATCGAGCTAAAAGTACCAACTGAATTTCAGGGTACAGTAGCCGGTGATATTAACAAGTTAGTCACTGCCCTTTTCCTTAATGGCTTTTGGACTTGGCAATTCTTTGATCTTCAACCTTTTTCATCTGAATTTCTGCATTTCTATGTGTAGGAGGAAAGGTGTTATAGTTGGAAATGATCAAGATGGAGATGATTCTATAATTACCGCCAATGTAAGTAGAATATCACTTCTCTTGAAAGCTTTGGCTTAACTGAGTTTCTAACTGTAGTATCTGGCTCCTGTTGATCTTCTTTGTATTGGATTGAATCAATACTTTTATCGTTGTGGATAAATTTTGAAGTTGCTTTTAAGTTCTGCGGAACAAGATTCTGAATTATCTTGTTACCCTTGTGTTAAGTTAAACTCAGGCTCATCTTTCTTCTTGTTTTTCTCTGCCTCAGATTGAGTCATTCCTTTAATCATTGTTCGTGATTCATTCATTAATCATTTTTTTTTTGGAAAGAATTCATTTATTAATCATGCAAACTGCATGTTATTTGTAGACCTTAAGGTTGTCTGACATTGAGCACCAATGCCGTGGTTGTTTAAAGAGATAAAGAAACATTTTCTGTATGAACTTGACACCTTTTCCCAACTTGGTCACTGAACTTTTTTTGCTACACATTAGTCCTGGAAATTGACAACTTTTCCTAACTTGGTCCCTTTGCTTCACATTAGCCCTGGAACTTGACAGCATTTCCAACTTGGTCCTAAACTTGGATTTTGTCACAAATTTTAGTCTTTAAAGAAATCCAAGTTCTTGGACCGAATTGGAAAAGTTGTCAAGTTCCAAGACTAAGGTTTACAGAAAAAATGTTTAGGGACCATGTTAGGAAATTTTATTTAGGGATTGTAGTAAAAAAAATTAGACTAACTTGGGAAAATGTTGTCAAGTTCAAGGGTTAAATGTTGCTTTATCCCTTGCTTAATTATTCTTTGACGTGTCATATGCATACTCTGTATTTCATGCATATGCTATGTTGCTCATGTAAAAGTTGATTTTCCCTACATTGCCAGTGCTGCATAGCACCATGCACGTTTCTCCTTTTCTCCAGACAGCTGAAAAATCATTTTCATGTATTTCCAGGTACCATTGAACAATATGTTTGGTTACTCAACATCACTTCGTTCGATGACACAGGTAAGACTTAAAATCGATTCATAGATTTCCCCGTTCACCTTATCCTCTTGTGGATATGTAAATTTTGTATCGTATTGTGTGTTCACAGGGTAAAGGTGAATTCACAATGGAATACAAGGAGCATTTACCAGTTTCTCAGGATGTGCAAATGCAGTTAGTTAACAATTACAAGGCCAATAAAGCAGCAGAATAAACGATGGCTGAACAACTTGCCATAAGCCCTTGGTAGTCTTTTCAAGTCTATAATTTGTTGTGATATTCATTTCTTTTGCTATATTTATTTATGCTATATGTTTGATCATATTGTAACATTTTTGGAACCACAATAAGTTTAAACCGTTAATTTCTCGGCCAACAAGAATCTCATATAGGGACCTTATGTTTTAGTTTTAACTTGCATGCTTTGTATTTGGATGGTGTATCATATAGTTCTTTATTAAAACAATAATATATAGATTCAATTCAATGAGTTGGATTCAGAATGCCTAAAATTAGTGATGTTGCCAAGCTTAAAAGTGATCCTCTTATTATGATCTTCATTAGACAATCCATGAAACGGATCCTCTTTTCAGTCTATGGCTCTATTATTACTCTTTTAATTTACTTTGATTTATATTATGTTATATTTTACACATAAGGAAAACAGAAATATTTAATTGTATTTTTTAATAAAAATAATGTTTGATATCTAATTGTACCACTAAAAGGGACTACTGAAATGTGACACACTAGGCCTTTAGCAAAACGTTGCTGCGGATCACTTGGTTGCTTTGTTTCGTGGTGCTGCCATTGGTGCAGATGTTTTCGTTGAGCCTCTGCCGAAACTTTTTACTATTTGCAGAAGGATTTACATGTCTATGGTTGATTAATACTAGCAAAAAATATAAAAAGAAAATAGTACCACATTTCGTATTAATGTTAAAGTCAAATATCAAAAGATACCTGCATACTTGACCAGTTAACTCCCATAGGCGTAATGATTTGACTAATTAATAAACATGTTTGTGAGCTTGTCATGAATGATTCAGTGACGATAATATAACAACCAATACTACGAGGCTATGGGTATTGATAAATTAGTAGAATGAACCAGTTAGTAAGCATTTGCATATTTAATATGATTGCTACGAATATACATTGAGATGTTTTTTTTAATATGGCCGTTAGTATTGAATACATTGGTTGATTTTTCTGAGATTAATCTGATATTATAATGTTCTAAAATAATTTATAACCATAATTTGATTTGAGGTATAAGTATGATGTGATTTATGTTAACATGGTATTATTATGCACAAAATATTTTTTTTTAAATAATTTAAGATAATATTTTATTATAATTTTTTAATCTTTTACATAATTTGCAAATGATGTAGTTGTTCGAACCTAAAATCTCTAAAGAGTAATAAAACTTAATATCGTAAAGGTAGGTTATGCTTATGTTTGATAAGCTCAAGTAAATGATAATTGAAGTATGTATGTTGTATGAATGTCTCATTATTATTGTGTAAATTTTTGTTGTGTGCCTTTAACTTTTAAATTCTTTATTTTTAATCATGAATAAAGATGAATATATAATTCTATGTTAGGGACATGAATTTATAAAACTATAGATTGTAAAACTATAAAATTATAAAAAAAAAAGGTGAAATCAAATATATTTAAACGTTTAATCTTTCAAGTAAAAGTATTTTTCCTTGGCTTTCTGCGAAGCTGCAGCTGGATGAGTAATTGCGTTACATGTGAATAGGCTTGTGGGAAATTGGGGGCTACGCTGCCTTCCATATAAACAAACTCCTTACTTCTTCTCCCTCCTCCTCTAAACGCCAAAATGAAGGTTAGCGGTTTAATTAAAGGGGGCTAATCATTTCATTTGATTATGTAAAAAAATTGCATTACCAAGTCTCCCATTATTGTTTGATCATGGTTTAATAAGCGGAAAGGTTTCTCTAACAAGGAATGATCCCTTCTTCAAATGATCAAACATTGATTCACCCCCCCCCCCCAAACAAGACACACACACTGTTGTACACTTGACACGGTTATTAGAACTACTAATACCGACTTGATCACCAAATTCTCATTTGATTACTATACTTTCTTTTCCCCTTTTGGATTCCGTTCTGGGTAATTAATGAATGCAACAGACAAGTGGAAGGTGAAGTGGGACCTTTGTTTTTAAGAGCACCGCATGGCGTTAGCCTTACACTGCAAACAGTGCGGAAGATAACACACCAATCACGTCCACACCCGTACGGTTATAGTGATAACCCCATTTTTGACGAAAATAAATTTGTTTAATTCTTTTCCTTTAGGTAATGAATTATATAATTGGTGAGGGAACAACAGTTGATACATGTTTTAATACAATATGAAGTTGATTATTGAGGATGAAGAAGATAATATAGAGGTCGTGAGGAATTTAAGCACTTGATCGTTTTTTATTAGGAGTATTTATAGCAATTTTTTTATGTATTCGTCAATAGTAAGATTGTTATAACTATTTATAAACTAATAAGTTTAGATATATATGATTGTCGTATTTTAAAGGCTTAAACTAGAAAAAGTAGTTAAATTGTATCATTTTTTACTTTAAGCATCTAAACTATTTTTCATCAAAATAAGTCCTTAAATTATTATATTTAACTACTTTAAGTACTTCAATTATTTTTTGATCAAAATAAGTCCTAAATTATATTCTTTTTTTTGTTTTAATCTCCTAAAATATTTTTTAGTCAAAAATAAGTATCTAATTTTCTGTGACGGATCAACATCTTATTGGTTGGTTGAAAATTAATTTTAAAGTAAAAATATTAAAACTTTAAAATAATTAAAAATATAATAATTTAAGTATCTAATTCAACTGAAAAATAGTTTAGATGCCCAAAGAAAGAAAGAAAAGCATAGTTCAACAATTTATATTTACTTTAAACCCATCTTAAATTATGTTATGATAGGTCTCATGTTTATCAGAGATCTTTATATTTACACTATACTTAATTCAAGGCTTTGAAATGACCATCTAGCTCAGTTGGTAGAGTACAAGGTTCTTAACCTTGAGGTCGTGGGATTGAGTCCAATGAAGGGTATTTCATAATTTGGAGGTCTACTACGGAAGTTGCTCTCAATCTAGTGTTGGGACAGCCTACTATCTTACCTCCCCTTACCCCATTACATATGGGAACAAGGGACCGCCATTTAATTCAAGGCTTTATGCTAAAAAAACTGAGATCCTTGATGGCTCCCATAATAATTAAAAAGAAATTGCTTTGCAGAGCTTGACTGATTTTGAAGATTATATTAGAACGTAGGAGACCTAGAGCTAGTAATCATGGTAGAGTGGAACCAAAAATAATTTTGTTTTGAAGGGTTAGAGACCAGATGTAATGCTAAGCAGACCTCAAAACCAAAAGAGATGCCCCCCAAGTCCTAATTAGTAGGGCCAAACAAGGTGGGAAGAAATAGTTAAGCCACGCCCATTTGGTTACTTACAAGGGTTGTTTCATTGTGCCCCCACAAACAAACACGTAGCCATCAAGTGGGTTATACTGTAATTTCCTCTCCCAAACTAACCAATCACTTCTGCACTACCAACCTTACAACCCAGTTTCTCGCACACCTTCACTCACTAAAAACAGAAGAAGAAAAAAAGACAGAGAGAAGAGAAGAGTAGTCTTTCTAGGTTGTATAAAGAAGCTAAAGCAAAAGACTATTAAAAAAATGTGTGAGCTTTTACAATTCCACAACATTTAGACTCACTCGAGAGAGAGAGAGAGAGAACTGCAAAAAGAATGCAGGATTAACGAGTTGAACTCGCTGCGAATACTGAGTTGAGTTAGGTTTCGAAAATCGAAATTACCATCCACTGCTTCTTCACCGCCATGTCCAAAAGATATGCCACTGTTCCCTCTCCCTTAAAAAAGATAGCCATTAAAGCCTCAACCCTAACCTATCACTTGTGAAAGCTGACACATTTACTATTTCTTTCCTTCTCTCTCTTTCTATCTCAGGGTTTATTTTTTTCCTGTCCTTTTTTTTCTTACTTTGTTGTTGACAGATATCATCAGTTGCAAGCAATCATACCGACAACAAAAACGACAACGTAGCCTCGCCGGAACATGTTGGAATACGAATGGGGAAACCCGTCATCGGTACAATTATCGGGCGAAGAGACAACCCAAGAACCCGACCCGACTCGTCAGATTTTGCATCATTATGCCACCACCGACCAACCTTTCAACGGAACTCTCCTTTCCCATCAAAACAGCACCGTCTTTTCTCACCCAAACCATTTCCATAGCCCTAACCAAGCTCAACTACACGCCAATTTTCATTCATTATATGATCCGCACTCCTACTACTCCGGCGCGTCCGCGTACTCCACGGTCCACGCGTCTTTGCTCTCACTGGACCCTGTTCCCGGTGTTGGAGGAGACGGAGGCGGTTACTTTCCTGTTCTGAAGACGGAGGAAGTTCCTATACCTGTTGATTTCACGGCGAGGATTGGTCTCAACTTGGGTGGCCGTACTTACTTCTCCTCCGCCGAAGATGACTTTGTGAATCGGCTCTATCGCAGGCCCAGGCCCAGGCCCGGAGATCTCAGCTCAACCAATTCCCCCAGGTGTCAAGCCGAGGGATGCAACGCTGATCTTACCCACGCTAAGCACTACCATCGCCGCCATAAAGTCTGTGAGTTCCATTCCAAAGCTTCTACCGTCATCGCCGCCGGTTTAACACAACGATTCTGCCAACAGTGCAGCAGGTTGAAGAATTTTTTTTTAAAAAATTTCTTATTTTGGCAGTAATAAAGCATATTAGTGTGTGCATATTGCATTAGCTCTCTGAAAGGGAGGGTTGAGGATAGTGATATATGTTGGAAATGACGGACATGCTCCTTTAGCTGTTTGTCACGGCCAATGATTGCCCACTCCTTTACATGGGGTGATCCCGAGGGTATATCTGTCCGTGAAAGCTCCATTTTCCCTCCGTTTCATGTATCATTTGCCGTTGGTATTAACTAAAAGACACATTAATTAGTGTTAGATTACTGAAAAAACCTCTACACGCGTTCATATTTTCAGTACGTTCCTGCAATCTTTCTTTTCATGCGAATATGGATGAAGCTCAAGCTGACGAAAGTGCCCCCGGGAGTTATGTAAATGCGTCCAATGATTAGTTCTACCGTACTCGTGGAAATCCCGAGGGCATTATCGTCTGAGGATCATGCTCTCTAATTCTGTGTTCTTAATACGTTTTGACAGATTCCATCTACTGTCGGAATTCGACAATGGGAAGCGTAGCTGTCGGAAGAGATTGGCTGATCACAATCGACGGAGGCGAAAATCTCAACAGCAACCCAATACTAGTCAAGAGAACCATAAGCACCTCCCCTCATCTGATAATCACTCAAGTAAGTCATTTCATAAACCACACAAACACGCAAAAAAATACTCCATTGCTTAGTTTCAAAATCTGTTTGTTGATTATTGCAGGGTCACCGCCAGATTCTGGGGTTCAGTCTTCTTCTTCAGTAACGGTGGCAGTATCGCCACCGCGAATGTCATTGGATTGTTTCAAGCAAAGACCTTACAATGGATCGGCATCTTCATCATCGTCCCCCACACTTTTTTTCTCAACTGGGTAATTACTAACAAGTAATGCCATTCAACCATATTATATATATATATATATATATATATATAGACAATGAAAATATTGGAAGAAGGTAGCCAAGGAATCAGCTTTTGCAATAACAAGTTGAATGTACTGTCCTCGCTTATTATTATATCAGAAATTTCAACATTGCTTTAATATCAGAAAATTATGAGTAATAGAACATGTAATATTTGTTATTATATTATATTTGCTTTGGGTCTACTTTTTACATTTTGGGAATGGTATTATTACCCTTTTGTCTGGTTAATGGAACTTTCCTGGAAAATTAATAAGCAAAGAAAAAGTAGGAAAGTAAGCCACATGGTACGATTTTTTTAGAAAAAATCAAAGTTGGGGAGGTGGGAGACTCGGGGTGTATGGCTAAGGTGGAGATGAAACGATCAAGTTGTCTCCTCCATGTAGGCCGGCCGTACCGAAGCAGAGTTATGATTATAATCAGTGAAAGATTCTAAAATATTTTTTTAATAAAAATATTTATATAACAACATAAATTTTTTATATAGGATAAACATATATTTCAGATAGAAAAAATAATTTTAGTGACCGAAAATTCCTTATAATATACGATTTTAACCAACTTTTTTACGACCAACAAAATCGCAATGCTATCTTTAAATCGCAACGCGATTTCCATTATCGCAATTTAATTTTCAGATTCGCAACGCGATTTTAACAATCGCATTGCGATTTTCAAAATCCGCGTTGCGATTTTAGATAATCGCAATGCGAATATGTAAATCGCAACGCGATAACACGTGATCGCAACGCGATTCTGACTATCGCAACGTGATTCGGACTATCGCAACGCGATAATACGTGATCGCAACGGGATTCTTACTATCGCAACGCGATAATATAAAATCGCAATGCGATTTTCAAAGCGCCATTAGTATCGCGTATTTTATTTTCAAATTCCAAACACGAATATTTACCCGTAATCGCAACTCTTAACCTAAAACCCTAAATCACAACACAGTCTCATCTCCATCTCTCACTCTCTACGGCGAAATCCATCCCCATCTCCGGCGAAATCCGTCTATCTCCATCTCAAAGCCACCCTCACAATCATTCACGATCAGAAATGGAAAATCAACCAAATCAACCACCGAGTGTTAGTTTTTTTAATTATTTTTATTTTGAAATTTTTGCATTATTATTAGGTTTTTCATATTGAAATTAATGATAAGTTTACTGGTAATTTCAATAATAGATTGCTGCCAATATTGCTACTGTTTAGTCTTTAACTCTGTGAAGTTAGTATTTGTCTTTGTTTTGACTTTTGGTTGAAGTAATGCAATTCATTCAAGTTTCAATTTTAGACAATGACCATTTGAAATCGAGAATCGCAACGCGAAATAAAAATCGCAACGACAAAATTCGCGTTGCGATAGTCAAATTCGCGTTGCGATAATCATTTTCGTGTTGCGATTTTCATTTTCGTGTTGCGATTTTAAGTTTTAGAAACTATTTTTCTTCTGCAAATTCAAACTTGAATGGATTGCATTACTTCAACCAAAAAACAAAGACAAATACGAAATTCACAGTGTTGCAAAATTAAGTTTGAAGAATAAACTACTACGCTTTATGTTTATTATTGTTTTTAGTATATCTTCACAGTGTAGTTTTTGGTATATCCAACTTGATATGTTTATTGTTTTTGTAGAATTTTTTTTCGGCTCAATTGACCTTAAGGAATAAATAAGCCTAGTCACTACAATTGCGTCGAAGCTTTCACCTGTACAAAGACAATTGTTTGAGGATACTTGCTTCGGGCCATGGCTGAAAGTACAACATCCGGGTGGAGATGTTATGTTGACCCATTTGTGGCTTCAGACCATGACACGCGATTTACCTGAGAGTATAGAACGTGGTAATGAAGAGATATGGTTTCATTTTCCACCGGCGTATACGTGTTTTGGGCGGGAGGAATTTTACTTAATCAATGGTCTACGCTTCGGACACGATGATGTAGGTCGATACACTAGTAATATTACTCGGATGGATGACGTTGATGTTGTCCGAGTATGCATTTTAGTACTTTTGCATGCCAGTTTTTTAGGCAGAGAGGGCAGACAACCTATTCCTAAGGACCTAATATTATTGGTAGAGGACCTAAATGCATGGAACCTATTTCCGTGGGGTTCGTATCTATGGAAAGCTACCTGGAATAAGTTGCCGTCTGCCTTTGATGACCGCAAAAGTTTGCGTGGCGATGGTTCCAAATACACTTTGTCAGGTTTTATTTGGGCCTTTAAGGTAAGAATTTCTATATAATGTTTCCAAAATTGTAATTAATTATTTTAACAATTACTAATGTTTGTGTATTATATTGTTTGTAGATTTGGATATTTAAGGCTTTTCCCGACATGCAGACATATGCATTCAAAACTTCAAATGATATTCCTAGGGCTATTTCCTGGAAGAGGAAACGGCGGCTGTTGATTTGGGAAGAGTTACTACGGTATACGATAATAAATGATGTAAGTTAACACAAATACTACTATATATAAACAAGTTATTACTAGTACACGTTTAACTTTATTTGAGCTTTTATATTGTTAGGAGGCCAACACTCCATTACAGAGGCTGACACCCACGGAGGCTGAGCTTGCCACTGATTGGTGGCAAGCTAGTAAGCATTTTTTTGATGGCACGGATGATGAGCAGCCTCCACTTCGAGAGCCATCACCTCACCCAGAGCCATCACCTGATCGACCACACTATACACCTCTACAACGAGAGCCATCACCTATTCTGTCACATCATCGAGCCTCTTCTCCACCATCACCTCATGATAGGCGACCGGCAAAGATGCCACGACATTTATCTCCCAGTTCTCCACCTCCACCTCCACGGGATGAGTTAGGGGAGTTACGTGATGAGGTCAATGCCTTGCGTGAGGAGGTCAGTATTTTACGCGATGACAATGGTGAATGGCGTGAGGAGGTATCTACTTTACGTGGTGAGGTAACGGCTCTACGTGAGATGGTAGCATCGTTGCAGAATGAGGTTCATACTCTATGAAACGAGGTAAGTTTAAGATTTTTCATTTAACTTGATTTACTCGTAATTTCATTTAGATTAACCATTTCACTTGGATTGCTTAGTAAATTCATTCGGTTACTGCCAATACTGCTAAACAGTTTTTAAATAACTTAGTATTTGTCTTTGTTTTGTCTTTTGGTTGAAGTTAGTAAATTCATATTTTTCTTTTGGATTGCTTAGTAAATTCATTCGGTAGTAGTTTATTCTTCAAACTTAAATTTGCAACACTATAAAGTTAGTATTTGTCTTTGTCTTTTGGTTGAAGTAATGCAATCCATTCAAGTTTCAATTTGCAGAAGAAGAATAGTCGCAACACGAAAATGATTATCGCAACGCGAATTTGACTATCGCAACGGGATAATCGCAATGCGAAAACGACTATCGCAACGCATAAATGACTATCGCAACGCGAATTTGACTATCGCAACGGGATAATCGCAATGCGAAAATGACTATCGCAACGCGAATTTAGTTTCGCGTTGCGATAGTTAAATTCACGTTGCGATAATAATTTTTGTGTTACGATTTTAAGTTTCATGTTGCGATTTTAAGTTTCAAAAACTATTCTTCTACTGCAAATTGAAACTTGAATGGATTGAATTACTTCAACCAAATGACAAAGACAAATACTAACTTCACAGTGTTGCAAATTTAAGTTTGAAGAATAAACTACTACCCTTTATGTTGTCCTTGAACATGCACTAAACCTATATGTTGTCCTTTTAAATGTTTATATAAGTGCTTACTTCCGGAATGTTATCTGATGCATTTTGTGAACTATGATAGAATAATGACTTGGGTGAATACCGTGCAAGTTTGAAACATATTTGTCTTTGTTTTCACTGTTTAATATCATGTTTGTTTATTTACTGATTTTATGTATTAATTTATTTTTAGCGGCCTGATAATGTGGATGCTTTACGTCGGGTTTTTCTTGCACGACGGGGTTCACGCATCAGACGGCGTGCACGTGCCATTAAGTCTCCGTTCACCCCAATTGTGTGAAGACTCCGTAAGAAGAAGCCTGACTCACATGTCATCGTTCAAGAGGCCTCTCCTATCGTTCAAGAGGCCCCTATCATCCCTCAAGAGTCCCCTCCCACCGTTCAAGAGGCCCTTGTCATCGTTGAAGAGGTCCCTCCCAACATTCTAGAGCCCGATTCACACGAAATATTATATCGAATTATTGAGAAATCCCCTCCCGTGCCAGACATGATGGATGACTGTTGGCTTTCGTATAAGTTACTGGCCAGTACCATTCCGGCAGATAAAGTAAAGAGGAAAAAACTACTGGAAACAATTCTGGATAATACTCTTTGGGCTAAGACCGCATTTGATTTTTATTTACATGAGCGGAGCCAGGGGTGTTACGCTGACATATACAAACTCAACGATGATATGCATTTGTTGATTGATCGGTCTTGGTGGGGTGTGTTATTAGGGGTTGAAGACAAAGACTATTTCGATGGGGGGTAAGTCTTATATTTTTCTTCTTATATTTCATTTTGATTAATTTTTTTTAATTTATGTAATTCACTAATATATGTCTTTTTTTGTAAACAGGATATTGATGCATGGTGTTACGTCTTCTAATAATAAGGAAAATCAAGAAAAATAAAAAAATACGCGATATACAATTATGCCGACGCCTTTTCACGTAGTTCACATGAAGAATCAACGACATGAATCATATGTGTTGGCTAATGGACAAGCTAAACTTTATCTTGCATGGTGGGAGGTCGATAAGGTTAGTATTTATTTTTTAAATATTTTAAAGGTGTTTATAAATAAGTGTGCAATTGAATTATTACTTATGATTGTAGGTGTTTATCCCTATTTTAGAACATACTCATTGGCTTCTCGTCGAGCTTCAGCTTCCATCCCTGAAGATAACAGTATATAACAGCATGATAAATTACATATCATTGTCTGATTTGAGAGATATTATTAAGGGATGGAGCTCTCATTTGGCTAAATTCTTGGATTCGATTAATTATTGGACTTATTCTGGAAACAATAAGCCAAATAAG